TACTTCAGATGTTAATTTAGTATCAAAAACGTAAAATATTTGAGTAGCCCAAGACATAGCCAAAGACTGAAGCGCCACAGCACTGGCAAAAATTTAAATTTGCCGACTGGAATTCTTTCAGATGATTGACTTTCGGAAAATCGACGCTCTACTGTATTACAAAATATCAATATTAGATATATTATTAGATACCAATATTAAAGCATTGTATAACATACCTCTGAAACCTCACTATGGTCCAGTGACAGATTTACAATGTACAATACATCACTATGAATAAGTCATCATCCAATCAATGTAATGTATCTATCTTGTTACACAATGATATGTTTGATTCCATCAGAGATTCATTGGTAAGGTAGCGATTTAAATTTAAATTTGAATTTGATCAAGGTTCTTCTATATATGTTCCATTCATAGAATGCAGAAAACATAAAGCAGGGCTCAGAAGGAACCCAAAAACATTCATTAAATCTGTCCCTGCTTTAAATCTGTCCCTGGACCCTAGTGAGGTTTTGAGAAGTTATTACTATTAATTCTAGTTGGAGGGTAAAAAACCAATATTAAAGATTTTTTAATTCCAAGAAAGCAGTTATATCTTTAATTTATATTTGTGAAAGCATAACACACAAAAAAAAATATTTTTCCATAACATTTTTTTTTTAATTATTTTTGAAAAAATCATCAAAAAATCACTTTGTGTGTTTACTAAATGATAAACATACATTTAAATTTTAAAAAACTAGAAAAAATTAAATATGTTTTTATAAAAAATGAGAATAATTAAAACTTCATATGTTGTTAAGTTAACTAACAGAATTTCTAAAGTATTATATCAATACTCTAATAATATGATCTGCATATATATTTTACATACAGTAGAACCTCGATTATCCGCCCCCGATCAACCGACCCCTCGGTTAACCGACCGTCCTAGTCGGCAAATTTCAAATGTCCGCTAGTGATGTGGCGCTACAATAGCGATGATTATTATTTTAAAAAATTTTTGTTAGGCTTAACATCGATGAAAATTCAACGCAAAATAGGTTAATAGCAATATACTATTATTGGATATAATAATATACTACACTAATAATGGATTTTTTCATACTTTTCGGTTATCCGACTTTTCAATTATCCGACAACCCCAATCCCCAATTAGGGCGGATAATCGAGGTTCTACTGTATATACAAAATTTTCAAGTCATGAACTACAATAATGAAGAAAACGACTGATAATGAATAACAATGATGAAGAGAAGGTCAACTGTAGAACTTTGTGTTGATTTTCAAATTAATGTATATAACACATTAATTTGAAAATAGCAATGAAATAACTCATAAATCATCACACTAAATAAATGTACTAGCAACAATCAAGTAGTTAAACAAAACTCACAAATCTGCCAAGCATGTGATGACAGATTCATAAATATCAAAACAGAACTAATATTCTTTGGAACAAATACTAAAACTTTTAAAATTGAATATTATTTTTATGTAAAAATACAAATTCTTAATTAAGTTTTCACAGTTAAAGATAAAATTTGATTTAAAACAAAATTACAAGAGAAAAAGTTCAAACAATTAGGAACTATTACTCAGCATTTGTCATTTTACCACCTGAGTAGCAATACTGGAAAACAGATTATATAATTGAAATGTAAATTCTGACTCATAATAAACATTAATATAAGATTATGAAAATTTTGTTAGTGTCAAATTCTAACATCATTGAAATGTGTAGTTAGACTGAATTACAAACTGATTGGAAGAAAGTTTATTTTTAAGAAGAATAACAAAACTTTAGACAATCATTGCTTTGTAGGAGTGACAAATTATTTTTATTTTTAATNTATTAATTTAGTGAAATTATTAAATCAATATACTTAACTAAATTTAGCATATAAAACATCATAGTTAAAATAATCAATAAAATTTCTTTCAAAATAATTGATTAATTTTCTTCAAAAATATTAGGTTTCATGAAATATCCTAACTATTAAATAAATAATATATAATATAATATAATATGAAATACTGCAATTAGATTTTTGAACTAAACTGAAAAGTTACAATTCAAAACTTATAGTTTAACTGAAGAAGTTGTTTTGTGATATAAGCTTCATTATAATATAAAATGTAAAAGTAATTATGAAATTTACAAATAATTATCAAGTAATGTTTATTACTTATAAATTCATCATAAAAGCATTAGAAAGTAACATAAAATATGTAAAAGCATCCATTAATACCTTTAATCCAGTTAAAAGGAACCAATTTATTACAAGAACAAACATTTTCAATGTTTATAACCTTAATAATAAATAATGCTTCTGGCCCATGACTTAATTTAGATAGAATTAGATATCCTAATAGACATTAATACAATCATAACACAAGTAGTAAACCAAGACTTGTGCTATGATTGTATTAATGTATGCTGGTGTGTGCTGTATATGTAAGCTGATGAGGGGTCTTTGTACCCAAAATGCATTCTTACCTAGATTTAATTGGGGTTATTAAAAACTAATTTTTTGTAAAATCTAGTCTATTTATTCCAGTCAACCCTGATGTGATAAGCCCTCCAATTTATTACAACCCTATTTATTAGGATATCTAATTCTATCTAAAGTTTATAACCTTATTTATATTTTCAGTTATTTTTCTTTTTCTTCTTTTTATATTTGCTACTTTTATTTATATCTGTTTTATTGTTTTATAATTTATTTAAATTTTTCTTTACCATTCTTCTACACATGTGACTACCAGCATGAATTTAAAGAGTTCCATTTTATTTAAATTTTGTTCAATGTAAGATTCTATACTTGACAATGGCTATTAAGGACAATTGAAAACATTTGTTCTTATAATAAATTGATTTATTTTAACGTAATTACAGGTCTTAGTGTGTACTTTTATTATAATTTCATCTAGTTTTGCAGTATCATGTAATCTTTTATAATTCTTTTATAAAATGCATTATGAAAGAATTATTACTATAGATAAATCAATTCATTACAACAGATCAGACATCATATTCATTGACAAATTAGAATAGAATCACATATATCATAGATATGTCAAACCCAAAAAATTACATTATATAGAATAAAATTGATAATTGAAAATAATATGTATACAGATCTCAGCTACGAAATAAAATACCAATGTAAAATGAATAAAGATATTTATCTATCTGTAATTCTCTCTTTCCCAAGTATTATATCATACTACACAAAGCAACAATATTAAATACAAAAAGTCAAGAACACTTAACATACATACATAAACTGACAACACAAAACATGACAAAACAATTATTTTTAGTAGCTATTCCTTGGCTTTGATCCAGCATAGCATTTGGCACAAATATCAACTGAGTTTCACATTTACATCATCAGGTGATTTAACACTAAACAATTATATACTAGTTAGAGCACTGCAATTAGAGCTACAAGTAATTTTTTACAAATTTTAAGAAATATAACTGTCATTCGCACAGTATTTATATACTTTGTACAGGATACATTTTTTTAAAAGCAGTATTTGGTAGCTATATAATTTTTATATTATGAAATTAATTATCTTTTTTTTTTCCTAAAATAATCATAAGATAATGTATAAAAATGTATATACATAAACATTAAAAAAAAAAAAAACAACAACAACATATTATACCAGATGACATAAAATTCCGCCATAAACCTATTGACCAGTGTCGATAACACATATACATTGCACAAACATTTTCGGGATTCTCCGGAATCCTGCTTCAGGTGAATCTCACTGTTTCATTGATGAAACACAATTTCAAACATAAGATTCAAATGACCATTAAATAACAAACGAATTTAAAACAAATGGAAGTCATTGGAGCGCCTGCACATAAAGGCCTGCCAAGCTGCCAAGAGAGAAAGCTCCTCCTTGTAATTGATACATGTGCTGTTTATATTTGCTTTAAAAATGTCTAAAGCTTCTAAATATCTAAGCCATTTAGTTCATTGCATTGTTACTAGGATGCTAGTCTTTTGTAAATGTACTTCTATATCTGGTTCTGCAGTATATATTGACAGGGTCATAGAGAGCCTTGACTACCTTATATGACAGTGTGCTCTTGCAGCCTCTTACCTACTGCTTTTTGTGGAGCTTACATATAGGCAGTCTCTATCGAGTCTCCTGTCTTTCAGAGGTATACAGTACACTCCTGAAAGCTTATGGGGGTGGACAGATCCTTCGCATTCCTAAAGAGAGTGAAAATGGTGAGACATCTCTTATACATAATATTTATTTATTTATACTTCCATCCTCTTCTGAGGTTGGTATTTAATACTGTACCAAAAAATGGCCATAAATATTACTTATAAGAGATGTCCCATAATTTTCACTCTTCTTAGGAATGCAAAGGACATGCCCCCCTCCTAAGTTTCCAGGAGTGTACTGTGTGCCTCTGAAAGACAGGAAATTCGATAGAGACCGCCTGTATATAGACTCCACAAAAAGACCAGCAGGTAAGAGGTCGCAAGAGTACACTGCCATATAAGGCAGTCAAGGCTCTCAATGACCCTGTCAATATACACTGCAGAACCAGATATAGAAGTACACTTACAAAAGACTAGCATCCTAGTAACAATGCAATGAACTAAATGGCTTAGATATTTAAAAGCTTTAGACATTTTTAAAGCAAATATAAACAGCACATATATCAATTACAGGGAAGATCTTTCTCTCTTGGCAGCTTGGCAGGCCCTTTATGAGTTGGCACTATAGTTTTGTTGTTGTAGAACCTCTTGTGCAGGCACCCCAACGACTTCTGTTTGTTTTAAATTTGTTTGTTATCTAATAGTCATTTGAATCTTATGTTTGAAATTGTGTTCTATCAACGAACAACACTCTGGATGATCCCAAAAAATGTTCATGCAATGAATGTGTGTGTGTTACCAACACCAATTAATATGTTTATAGTGTAATTTAATAAAAAAAAAAAGTTTGCTGCTTACCTTTTCCCATAAACAATCTATAAATAAATAAAAATGAGCACTGGTTGATGCATGATGCACTAACAATTTATAAGAAGCCTCTTTGATTTCTCCCAGTGTTCGCTCTTGTTGAATTTGCACTTCACACCATAAATTCATTAATTCCTAGATTTAATAATAATGTAATAAATATAACCATAATGATAATTTTCAACAAATCATTTTAGCATACTAAATTAATAATTATATCAATTAAATTTTCACATATTTTGAAATTTTAAAATTGGTTTAAGTTAATTAAGTAAAAAAAATTTTTAATTAAATTCCTAAAATTATTTTTTAGTATTCTTTTCTTCATTATTATTATCACTATTAAAATTCATAATATAACAGCAATTTTAATTAATAAAATAATCAAATAATTTAAATTTTGTCATTTATCTCAGGATGATAAATTTCAGTTTTTGATATGAAAGTTTCTTAACAGTTAAATTTTTGCATAATCTTAAATTAATATTTAACATGTACTGTACAATAAGTTAATAGATACTTTTAAAATGATTATTTATTTTCAATATTGGTCTGCATTTAAATATAGATATAAAATAATTATTGCATTTTGGTAATAATTTTAGCAATAGACTTCATTTCCATGTAAACAGAATACATTAGTTTCAACTTAATTTTTTACATTCAAATTTTTTCAAAAATTTTTCTAAGAATTAAAATTCAGGATTTTTATAATAAACTGAAAAATCAATAATCAAGTTAAAACCAATTTGCTTCATTCAAGAACAGCATTGTGGAATATGTACCAAAAATGAATATGTTTTTATTTTAAATATATATGGAAAAGTAAATGACCCTTTTCCAAAATTTTAAAACAGAGGTTATCCGTTAATTGTGTGTACAGTTTAAAAGGAAGCGGATTGCAAAAAGTACATTACTGTATATAATGCTCTGATACCACTAAAAAAGTCCATGCAATGCTTGGACTTTTTTAGTGGTATCAGGAGCCCACAAACTGTTCTTAAAAGCTTACTTGCCATGTGAATAAACTCTCAGAAAATATTTGCAGAACTTTTTAAAGTAATTTCTTGAATGTTAGGGTATCTGTGAACTAGTGTTATATAATTAAAGGAGAGAGGGTTTGCCAAAAGTAAGCCTTATATCATTGTACATGATGAGGAGGGGCATAAAAACTATACATATAATTACTGGACAGCCCATATCTACTGATTTTTTTATGATAATATATGAAATCCTTGGCAATTATATATTAAACAACAGCTTTAAAAAATTAACATAGCTTGACAATTCAAATTGCAAATAGTGTAATAATCAAACAAGTATGGGTAATGCTAATTTTTTGGCATCCAGTGGTTTTTGCACATGATTAAATGTTTCTTGAAATATTTCATCTTGTCTACAGATCCTTTCAAATAAAATTTGAATAAAGAATGAAAAACCTCCAGGCTCCTAAAAATTTAGCATTATGTTTCTATTTGTTTTACAAGAAAGTTATATGTACAGGAAAACTGATAACACCAGACATATATGCCAATGATTAGGAAAGTGGCTGAAGTGATTTTTCACTTAACCCCTTAACATTTAACAGTTTTAGTGTAATGAATTTTTCTGTAAAATGCCTATTTTTCAAGTTATTCCAGTAGGCTGATTAAAATAAACCATCCTGTATACATACTATTGTTATTATTATTTTCATTTATTAATCTTGTATACTCCATTTTTTGTTCACACTCCAAGTTTATGTTCTTTTTTTATTGTAGAATATACAGTAGAGCGTCGATTTTCCGAATCAATTGGGGACTGGGGTTGTTCGTATAACTGATATTTCGGATAACCAATTTATGTACGAAAAAATAGTTTAACGTATCCGATGTTGAAATTTTTCTCTGTTGCATGTCGCTTCGCATTGAATTTTTGTTGATGTTAAGCCTAACAAAGACTATTGTATCGTTAAAAATTATTTTTTTATTTTGTACAAACAAAATAAATATATTGAAAAATATAAAAACAATAAAAAATTATACTTCAGATGTTAATTTAGTATCAAAAACGTAAAATATTTGAGTAGCCCAAGACATAGCCAAAGACTGAAGCGCCACAGCACTGGCAAAAATTTAAATTTGCCGACTGGAATTCTTTCAGATGATTGACTTTCGGAAAATCGACGCTCTACTGTATTACAAAATATCAATATTAGATATATTATTAGATACCAATATTAAAGCATTGTATAACATACCTCTGAAACCTCACTATGGTCCAGTGACAGATTTACAATGTACAATACATCACTATGAATAAGTCATCATCCAATCAATGTAATGTATCTATCTTGTTACACAATGATATGTTTGATTCCATCAGAGATTCATTGGTAAGGTAGCGATTTAAATTTAAATTTGAATTTGATCAAGGTTCTTCTATATATGTTCCATTCATAGAATGCAGAAAACATAAAGCAGGGCTCAGAAGGAACCCAAAAACATTCATTAAATCTGTCCCTGCTTTAAATCTGTCCCTGGACCCTAGTGAGGTTTTGAGAAGTTATTACTATTAATTCTAGTTGGAGGGTAAAAAACCAATATTAAAGATTTTTTAATTCCAAGAAAGCAGTTATATCTTTAATTTATATTTGTGAAAGCATAACACACAAAAAAAAATATTTTTCCATAACATTTTTTTTTTAATTATTTTTGAAAAAATCATCAAAAAATCACTTTGTGTGTTTACTAAATGATAAACATACATTTAAATTTTAAAAAACTAGAAAAAATTAAATATGTTTTTATAAAAAATGAGAATAATTAAAACTTCATATGTTGTTAAGTTAACTAACAGAATTTCTAAAGTATTATATCAATACTCTAATAATATGATCTGCATATATATTTTACATACAGTAGAACCTCGATTATCCGCCCCCGATCAACCGACCCCTCGGTTAACCGACCGTCCTAGTCGGCAAATTTCAAATGTCCGCTAGTGATGTGGCGCTACAATAGCGATGATTATTATTTTAAAAAATTTTTGTTAGGCTTAACATCGATGAAAATTCAACGCAAAATAGGTTAATAGCAATATACTATTATTGGATATAATAATATACTACACTAATAATGGATTTTTTCATACTTTTCGGTTATCCGACTTTTCAATTATCCGACAACCCCAATCCCCAATTAGGGCGGATAATCGAGGTTCTACTGTATATACAAAATTTTCAAGTCATGAACTACAATAATGAAGAAAACGACTGATAATGAATAACAATGATGAAGAGAAGGTCAACTGTAGAACTTTGTGTTGATTTTCAAATTAATGTATATAACACATTAATTTGAAAATAGCAATGAAATAACTCATAAATCATCACACTAAATAAATGTACTAGCAACAATCAAGTAGTTAAACAAAACTCACAAATCTGCCAAGCATGTGATGACAGATTCATAAATATCAAAACAGAACTAATATTCTTTGGAACAAATACTAAAACTTTTAAAATTGAATATTATTTTTATGTAAAAATACAAATTCTTAATTAAGTTTTCACAGTTAAAGATAAAATTTGATTTAAAACAAAATTACAAGAGAAAAAGTTCAAACAATTAGGAACTATTACTCAGCATTTGTCATTTTACCACCTGAGTAGCAATACTGGAAAACAGATTATATAATTGAAATGTAAATTCTGACTCATAATAAACATTAATATAAGATTATGAAAATTTTGTTAGTGTCAAATTCTAACATCATTGAAATGTGTAGTTAGACTGAATTACAAACTGATTGGAAGAAAGTTTATTTTTAAGAAGAATAACAAAACTTTAGACAATCATTGCTTTGTAGGAGTGACAAATTATTTTTATTTTTAATAAACATTCTAGTTAAGTCTAGGCTAGTCATAAGTAACCTAGTACTAATTATAGTAAAACTTTCAATGTTGAAATAATTTATTATATATACAATTTATAATTGGTATCCCATCATGTAAAATCACCTGAGAAAAATATAAAGTTTCTAACAAGAATCTGTTAGACAATTTTTTCAGCTTTTTCTCAGAATTTCAAGGTTGTATTCTCAACAATTTTATTCTGAGAAACAATTTTCAGAATAAACAAGAGCACCTAATTATAGTGGTATAAATTAAAATTCTTCTTGAATAATTTACATTTCTTTGGAAAAATAAACAATAAATACTATTGAATTTAACATCTTATTTTTTACTGAAAAACTGGTAAGTTTACTGAATAAGAATAAAATAAAAAGTTATTATTATTATTATTTATAATATCCACTTTTAACAGAACCTGTTAAACAATGTTAATGATGAACCTGTTAATGATGAATCATGATAATGACTAATTATAGTCATACCACATAGAATTATTTAAACTATTAAATAATAAAAATATGAACTTCAGCATATAATTATATAAACTGATCTCAATTTAATTATATATCAATATAAACTGATCTAATCCATTTTTAAACTTACCCTATTAAAGAACTACTATAAATGAGAAAATATTTTATAGACAATATTAAATTATTTATATAATTCAAGAATGATACCAATAAAAAGACAATTTTTAAACATATCTGGGATTAGATTTTAAACAGGAAAAAAGAACAAGTAATATATTATTCAGAATAATTGTTTCCATGTTTTATTTTATTATATTTAATAAAAAATTATTTTCTTTGTAATATTTGTTAATTACAATTTTAAAAGAATTGATAAAATTTAAAACCATTTTAAGAACTTACTTTTGTACAACAGTAGTTAGAAGGATATAACAAATCACGAACTAAAAATAGATTAATTAAAATTTCTGTTGCAGAAGTTGAATTTAATACATTTTTAGATTTCATGATATGAATTAATTGTATTCCTTCATGGCAATTATAGTTAGAAACCTGAAACAAAAAAATTTGTTACAAAAATGTGTATATAAAAACACTTTTTAAATTTCAATCATATATACATAATAAATTATTGTAAAATACTGTATTTATTCTAATAAACAATGCAGCAAAAGCTGAAAAAGTTATAAACAGTACACTGTAATAGTAAATGTACTGTCTACTGTTAGAAGATAAGGCTTATTGTAAATGGAAAAACTGCACATTCTATTCAGCACTGCCAATCTTACCATATGTTGAAATAAAGTGTGTGTGTTGCATTGTTGTTTGAGTAATAATAAAGTAAAAACGTTATTGGATTTACACCATTAATAGTTGTCCTAGTCACACCCAATTCACAAAGAACAGAAATAACAGACACCCATAACAAACAATATAGTTGCAAACTGAAAAAAGTTATAGACAGTACACTGTTTATTAAAATAAATATGGTAATTTAAAATATTAAATTATGTTGTAAGATTATTTAACACTACATTTATTAATATAATTATGTTATAGAAAAGAAAGAAAATTTTTATAACATATTTTGTATAAATTCTTATTGTGTTCACTTTATTATTGAATAAGTCTGTTTTATAGATAACAAATTATTGTAAAAATGTATTTTAAAGAAGGTTTATAAAAACATTGTTAATATTTTCTACTTTTGGTACTCACATTTACATACAATACATGACTACATTTTACAGAAATGCAAAGAACAAAAATAGTTTGTGTTCATTCTGCACTCTTGCAAACAGTATACTGCCAATTAAGCCATCTAGACATTCAAAGTCAAATTTTCCTTAGACATATATTTATTTACATTAAAATAAAATCATAACAGCTATTTATTGCCATAGCAATTATTGCAAATTATGGCCAATCAAGAGATATTAGAGAATCTGGAAAGAAAAGAAATTCCAGTTAGTATGAAAATAACCATTGTGGTTATATACTAACATAGAATCCTGCTTAGTGTGTTCATATGAGATAATTAAACAGATATATATTATGTAACAGCAGAAGTCACAGTCCAGTTATTTTTCATATAAATTTCTCATTTCTAAAATGATTTATGTAATCATTACAATTACAAATAGTGAGCAACATGTCTGCTTATTATTCTAATCATTAATTTTAATAATAACTAATTAATAATCAGATAATTTCAGAAACAAAGTAAAGTTTAATTTAACATTCAGGTTATTATAAGTTTCTATTTAATAAAATTTCATTTATGGAGTAAAATCATATGATTTTCTTAAGGATTATATAATTTTATAACTGATTCTAAAAACTTAAAATTTATGCTAACTATATTACTAAAAATAAGTCAGAAATAAGTTCATAATGATAAATCAGCTCATCACATCAAAAACTCTCCAGTTATAATGGTAATTTGTTTTAATTTTAATTGGACAGCAATTTTAAAACTGTAGATCTATAAATCCTCACTGGCATCCATCTGTTTGCCTGTCCTTGCTTAATCTCGAGAACAGAGTTAGATGACACTGTTGTTAACAGGAAAAGTATGATATACAGGGGCATGACACTACTAAAACAAGAGCACTGTGCATCAAGATCTTAAAAAATTGCAGCCTAGCATTGTGATGATGTCACAATAAATAGGTTTACCAAATTTATTTTTATGTATCAATTACTTTGATCAAATCCTCATGTACAAATTTTTCAATGGATTTCTCCTATCTCATTACATCAACTTACTTCAGTCAATACAAGATAGTCTACCTGTATTTCTGTTCTTTTTTGCTGTCTTGCCAAGTTTCTACCAAATCCTTTTTCTATCATCACCAAGATTAGCAATCTTATGTAAACATTTTGTATAGCTATATAATATACTAATTTATTCTACAATGTTATATAATAAAAATATCAATGTTATGTCCTAACATCCTATTATAATACACCCATCACTTGCTTAACAATTACTCACTTAATAACTTTTCACTATAATAGCTTTTAAAAAATGTTTTATATCAAAAAAGCTTTTAACAAATATTCAATAAAAATGATATTTTGACATTATGGATTTTGAAAAAATTATTTACTAATTTATTCTAAAACTGGCAGCAAGCTCTTTAGTCTGTTCATATCTGTAATTTCTATGTTACAAAGTGCATTTTGAATGTTATAATGATATGTTGAAAGAAAATTGAGAATGAGAAAAGTTGTAATGATTGAAAAGTGAATCACTCTACACACAATGAATTCTATATGGAAAAAACTGTCTTTGATTCATCACAAATATTAGAGAATTTAATAAAGTGGCTGATGTAAATGGAAAGATTTTGGCTGTTGCAAAAGAGACTGGGTTTCAGAAAGTTGATGCAGATGATAGTTTTTTTGCAATCCCATGATGATGAACTCATATTAAATGGACTCAAATATAAACATAAGTTCTCTGTAAAAATAAAGGAAAAGAAAAGGCAAAGAAAACTTTGGACACTGCTAAGATAAAAGAAATTATGGACAATGTAGATAAAATGATAGACATTGTTTATGAATATGACAATAATATAAGAAGAAGCATTACAGGTACAGGTAGGTCTCCTACAACGCAGTAGATACATTCCTTGAAAATACCATGTTGGGGGAAATCATGTTATAGGAGATACCAACTCAATACGAAAACTAGGGTTCGGTTCTAAAAAGAGAAAAACTTGGCGTTTGAATGGCGTTTTTTGGATTTTTCAAACCGGCCATTGGTAGCCACGAATTTAACACTGGTTTCATCAGCTGACCAGTGGCGTAGCTTAGTGGGGGTGGTNTATAATTTTTATATTATGAAATTAATTATCTTTTTTTTCCTAAAATAATCATAAGATAATGTATAAAAATGTATATACATAAACATTAAAAAAAAAAAAAACAACAACAACATATTATACCAGATGACATAAAATTCCGCCATAAACCTATTGACCAGTGTCGATAACACATATACATTGCACAAACATTTTCGGGATTCTCCGGAATCCTGCTTCAGGTGAATCTCACTGTTTCATTGATGAAACACAATTTCAAACATAAGATTCAAATGACCATTAAATAACAAACGAATTTAAAACAAATGGAAGTCATTGGAGCGCCTGCACATAAAGGCCTGCCAAGCTGCCAAGAGAGAAAGCTCCTCCTTGTAATTGATACATGTGCTGTTTATATTTGCTTTAAAAATGTCTAAAGCTTCTAAATATCTAAGCCATTTAGTTCATTGCATTGTTACTAGGATGCTAGTCTTTTGTAAATGTACTTCTATATCTGGTTCTGCAGTATATATTGACAGGGTCATAGAGAGCCTTGACTACCTTATATGACAGTGTGCTCTTGCAGCCTCTTACCTACTGCTTTTTGTGGAGCTTACATATAGGCAGTCTCTATCGAGTCTCCTGTCTTTCAGAGGTATACAGTACACTCCTGAAAGCTTATGGGGGTGGACAGATCCTTCGCATTCCTAAAGAGAGTGAAAATGGTGAGACATCTCTTATACATAATATTTATTTATTTATACTTCCATCCTCTTCTGAGGTTGGTATTTAATACTGTACCAAAAAATGGCCATAAATATTACTTATAAGAGATGTCCCATAATTTTCACTCTTCTTAGGAATGCAAAGGACATGCCCCCCTCCTAAGTTTCCAGGAGTGTACTGTGTGCCTCTGAAAGACAGGAAATTCGATAGAGACCGCCTGTATATAGACTCCACAAAAAGACCAGCAGGTAAGAGGTCGCAAGAGTACACTGCCATATAAGGCAGTCAAGGCTCTCAATGACCCTGTCAATATACACTGCAGAACCAGATATAGAAGTACACTTACAAAAGACTAGCATCCTAGTAACAATGCAATGAACTAAATGGCTTAGATATTTAAAAGCTTTAGACATTTTTAAAGCAAATATAAACAGCACATATATCAATTACAGGGAAGATCTTTCTCTCTTGGCAGCTTGGCAGGCCCTTTATGAGTTGGCACTATAGTTTTGTTGTTGTAGAACCTCTTGTGCAGGCACCCCAACGACTTCTGTTTGTTTTAAATTTGTTTGTTATCTAATAGTCATTTGAATCTTATGTTTGAAATTGTGTTCTATCAACGAACAACACTCTGGATGATCCCAAAAAATGTTCATGCAATGAATGTGTGTGTGTTACCAACACCAATTAATATGTTTATAGTGTAATTTAATAAAAAAAAAAAGTTTGCTGCTTACCTTTTCCCATAAACAATCTATAAATAAATAAAAATGAGCACTGGTTGATGCATGATGCACTAACAATTTATAAGAAGCCTCTTTGATTTCTCCCAGTGTTCGCTCTTGTTGAATTTGCACTTCACACCATAAATTCATTAATTCCTAGATTTAATAATAATGTAATAAATATAACCATAATGATAATTTTCAACAAATCATTTTAGCATACTAAATTAATAATTATATCAATTAAATTTTCACATATTTTGAAATTTTAAAATTGGTTTAAGTTAATTAAGTAAAAAAAATTTTTAATTAAATTCCTAAAATTATTTTTTAGTATTCTTTTCTTCATTATTATTATCACTATTAAAATTCATAATATAACAGCAATTTTAATTAATAAAATAATCAAATAATTTAAATTTTGTCATTTATCTCAGGATGATAAATTTCAGTTTTTGATATGAAAGTTTCTTAACAGTTAAATTTTTGCATAATCTTAAATTAATATTTAACATGTACTGTACAATAAGTTAATAGATACTTTTAAAATGATTATTTATTTTCAATATTGGTCTGCATTTAAATATAGATATAAAATAATTATTGCATTTTGGTAATAATTTTAGCAATAGACTTCATTTCCATGTAAACAGAATACATTAGTTTCAACTTAATTTTTTACATTCAAATTTTTTCAAAAATTTTTCTAAGAATTAAAATTCAGGATTTTTATAATAAACTGAAAAATCAATAATCAAGTTAAAACCAATTTGCTTCATTCAAGAACAGCATT